GGCCCAGAAAGCGAAATTTGAATATCAAACACTTAGGTTCAAGATTATGCCAAAATTTCATGTTTTCCGGCCCGTTTTTGCTCATATCTTGGAGGCAAAATGAGCAAGAACGCTCATCTGTACATCATTCTAGAGAGAAATAAATGGCCTTTTTAGAAAGTGAACCATGGATAAGAAAATGTTCGCAGTTTTCTCAAAAAATTCTTGAATTCAAGAAGTTTTAGAATTTGCCTGGGCATGCGAAAAAATTTACTGTAGACGAAGATTTAGCTCTGATGGGCTTGCAACCATTCCATTTTCGATTATGGCACCTTTGGGGAATGGGGCTCGCTGTTGGCTAAAGGCCACACCATTTGCTACAACACGTCGGAGAATTTCCAGTATGTAAACGGCTGGATTTTTATTGAATAGAAAGGAAACATTGCCACGATAACAGCAGTAGCAAATTGTGCATTAGAGCGGGTAATTTCGCATCAGCACGCAATTTGTTCATTCATTTTACCCAGTGTGTACACACCACACCATTGTCTACGATGCAGTATCCAAAGACTTTCTGTTAAATCTACAATAAATATAGTCGTCTGTTCTAAGCCGATTGCTAAATATGCCGCTCTCAAACAATTTCAATGCCACTACACGCAATAATCAGACTCCAGCATTGCTTGACGCGTTCGAGTGAAAAGCTCAATGATAAAACTAGATAGTTGTACGATTAGATCAGGTTGTACCTGATTATCGCCGATAGTTCACACATGTTTTATGGCCAAATTACCGACTGTTTGTGAACTTATCGCGTTCAGTGTGAGTGAGCAACTGGTAACCGCGGTCAAGTCCACTATTGCCGACGTTTGTAGATTAGTTGCGTTGAGTTTTCATGCGAAACTTTCTCGCCTCATCGCCGCCATGGACTTGTAGCAGTAACAGGTAGATTCAAATATGAAAGTTCCACTAATATCCGCCTGTTCTACAGCTGCAACGTTGGCTAAATGATAAAGAATGAATGCCAGACGACCGGCAATAATCATCACTTTTGGAAGTTTAATGCTGACGATTTGGTACGTTAATTTTCCGCCCAACCTGCAAAGACAATGTGAGGACTGTGGAACTGAAACGGCGAGCCCGATCCCTTCAAATGCCGTAGAACCCAACCAGTACACGTTTAAAGACTTAGACAAACTGTTGTGCTCCAGAGAAGTTGAACCTTCTAATGAAACGTTGCGACCTTGTCCGAAGCATGGCATCGCAACGATGATTCCCGGGGGAAGAACTGGTGAGCAGTCGCACTTGCACTAGCCAATCACACCTATCCTCTAATAAATAGAAATGAGCCATTGTAGGGAACCAGATGTGGGAATACTCAGCCATATGGTTTGTCGCCAAAGAAACTGGTCGCCAGCCCTACATTCCAACTTGCGTAAAACTTGCCCTTGAGGGCATATTCGAGGGCATGTCCCTTCCATCTCTGCAGGCCATCGGCCACTGCCCGTTCGACCAAAGCTCCTCGGTGGACTCAATGGAACAATTGGTGCTCCCTCACCAAGTAGGTAGAGTGAAAAGCACCCTCTAAAGCTAACTTGAAGGTATTTCAGAGCATAATAGTGCCAGCGTTTTCTTTTGAGCGAAGACTAGCCATTCCCCATCTGGGCGAAGTGGTTAGGGAATTCCAGTTCAAAAAGCCCCTACGGGACAAAGCGCAAGAGGATCTGCGTGAAATTGCGGCCGACTTATTGCCTTCGGCAACCCCGACGTTCATCGGCGTCCACGTGCGCCGAGGCGACTACGGCGCCTTTCTAAAAAGGTAAGCAACCCAGAAGAACACCGCTTTGAGACCAGCACGTCTCCTTCTCACCAGGAAATGGAACGCCACGATGGTAACAGCAACCTTCTTCCGCAAATCAATGAACTACTACAGAGCCAAATTCTCCAACTGCCTGTTCATCTACATCAGTGACGACCCGCTTTGGTGCTTCCAACACTTTGGAAATCTCAGCGATGTCTTCGTCACGTCGCTCAACAGCCGCCGCACTCCAGCAGAAGACTTGGCCCTGATGGCCGCCTGTAATCACACCATTTTCGATTATGGCACCTTTGGGGAATGGGGCTCCATTCTAGCTGGAGGCCTGGCAATTTTCAACAACAGGGATCAGAATATCAATCCCCATTTGCCCAACTGGATTATTATGGAGTGAGGCCAAAACACGGCACATCTCAACGCTGAGGGGACCAATTGAATTATTTATATGTATTTATTAAACAACCCCATTTTTCAACCCTAACAGTATTTTCCCTTCAATCGCCGGTACGTTGCTGTATGATAATAAAGGATCAATGGAAAACTGATCTTTCCAGGAAAAGAGCATAGT